TTCAATAGCCTGCCTATTCTCTTCTTAACATAGGATGCGTCCCTTAAAATCACCAAGACATCAAAATATTTATACATGTACAAGACCTCACATGACGTCGTATATTGCATTCTTCCAAAGTAAATATATAATTTTCAATACTCAAAATACATGTACTTAAAATCAAAGTTAGTCTACTTTTTTTTAAAAATTGTGATTTTGCAAGAAATTGTTTTGGCGCCATATGCAATATATTGGAGTATAATGGCTACTGGGATTTAAAAATGGGAGAAAATCGTTTGGATCAATGTGGAAAGTCCGAGTTTTCTCTTCGCGCACCTAGTGTTATTTTAAGGGACATGGACACAGTTTCAAATTTTTTTTAAAACCCAATTTTAATGTTTACATTTCCTTATTCAAATGATCAGGAAAAAATTGAACATCATTTGTTGATTTACAAAGGAGATACAGAACTTAAAATTCAAGGCTCGTGCCTTGTTTTCGTTCACATATAGAAAATATCATATTTATATCAATACAAGATTCAGTAAATCACTAGAATTTAGAATTAAATTATCTCTTGAAAAAATCTGCATATTAGTATATTTAACCTACATGTATGTGAACAAAAACGTGACACAGGCCCTTTTTTCATAACAAAGATCTTGATCTCTAAATTTGATTTGTGTCTCGACAACTGAGATTCAAATTTTTGATAATCATTAATTTAAAAATATCTTAGTTAAGTATTTGTAAGAACAAAAAATGGAAAAATGAATTAGAAAATTTTCATCTTAAACTGTGTCAATATTGTCCCCTTTAAGAACTCCCAGTGACGAGAAGTGCGAAGCGCCTCTCGAGAGCTGGCATCGCCAATAGCTATAGCTTTTTTAATACACATCTACAGATGATTCTCCTCTTCATACTTCTAACTGGATGGGACACAGTCAAAACTTTGACGTCACTTATGTAATTACTTACGTAATTATGTAAATTGCATTTCCATAACGCAGTCTTAATAGGCTTAGTGCAATCTTTTACTTTTCATGAAAGGCATTGTCGATGCAGTAACCTTTTGTTTTTAAGCTTTCTGTTAAACAGAAATATTCACGATATCTCCAAGTTAGTTATATTCGCCATTATCTCATGGAAAGCATGTATCAAAAGAACTTTTCGAAGGTTTCATATAAAACAATCTTGACGATTTTACAAATCATTTCAATTCTTCTCTATTCTCACGGGTTAGTCTATTGACTTTAGTTTTATGTTCAGGATGTTAAATCAAGCTCAGGTGTACCGTCAGGGTACCTTCCACGAGAAACCTGTATACAGCTTACACTTGTAATTTAGATCCGCCTCTTCAAATCTCAACTGTACGAGACATTGTCTAGATTGTGGTGTCAAATGACGTTATATGTTAGTTGCATTTCCTTAACAAAGTTTGAAAGGCCAAGTGCATATTTTTTTTTTATATAAAAACATTTTAGAGAAGTGTATTTTAAATTGTATCTTTCAATATACCTGCACTTACTGAACGATAGCTGGGACCAGTTATACCGGGTATTCATCATTATAGCTGGAAAGCTGGTATCGAAAGAATTCTGGTAAGGTTTCAGATATAAGAAAAATTGACGGATATTCTGTTTTTATTTCAAAGAAGAGGGTTCACTTATGACCTTTTTGGCCATCAGAATTTCTGAAAAACTGAAACTGCTTAATTATATTTAACAATGCATTAAATATCACTTAGACCTATGGTGATTGCATGTCTATAAAAAAAATACGTAATTTTCTGGCTAGTCAATGTATTATGACGTCACGAAATGCGTCAATTTCCTCATAGGCTGAAAAAGTCAAAAACAAAAACAAATTAATTTTTTAAAGCTATTTTTTAAAATATTTAATACAGAGCTCAACCTCTGATATAAAATAAGCAACCAGTAAATGATTTTTAAATTGCATGTTTTATTTTTTTAAATCAGAGTGTGCGCTTATATTATTTTACTTCTCTGATTTAAAGTACTCAAATATACCTGTTTACATTAAAATTCAAGAACATTGCAATTCCATAAAGCCTGTGTTCCAAAACATGGAGTGTGAGGAGAAAAATTTTAATAGGAAATGAAAGTACTTAGTCTCTACTTTACTTTAATGTTTAAAATAGAACATAGAATGCTAGTCAATTAATTGGTATATCTACAGGGCTGTTTTATGCATAAAGTGAACAAACTCTTTAGTCTGCTCTTACAAGTTAGTCCTTTAAGTTCGAGGGACGCTCGCTTTTAACCTTATATTCCTTGCAAGAAAGTTTCCTCTTTTGTTGAAAGAACTAAATGCGGTATATTGCATATCTTTGCCCCCACACAAGTCAAATTTTGAAAATTTCTTGAAATGTGCTGAATTTTATAAATTGTATGAGAAATATAAATTAACAGATCATATAGATTCAAAGTAGTTTACTGACAATTTTTGTTCTTATGACGTCACAAACTAGTTCGATTTTATATCATTTTTAAGAAAGAAGACAAAAAGGACAAAATTTCAACAATTTTAGCTTTATAATTTATAGAGCACAAGTTTGCTCAGGAACAATATTTACATATTTAATTGATATTATCATTCTACACATAATATCAAAATATTGAGCCTGATCAGATCTGCGCTCGGTGACTTGTACTCAAAATATCGACGTAAAATATGCATTTTTCTGCACAAATCATGGAAATTTTAAATTTGCGTCATTTTTGTGACGTCATTTCAAACATATGACGTCACTGCTAATGAAAATATTCAGTGTTTTGAAGTCAGTATATATTCCCCTGTTTAAGAACATAATTAAATATTTCTCCGTCAAAGTTTGATTTTGTGAAGCAAATATTGGTTATTACCGAATAAAGTTCTTTACCTCTGTCTTCATTTTAAGTTTTTAGTATTCTTCAATCATCAGAAGGAGCATACAATATCTGTTTATTTATAAGAAACAGAAAGAAAGCCCAGAAAGCTCATTCGAGATTCAAGTTTCGAAATACGAGATTCAAAATTTTAGATTCGAAATTCGAGTTTCGAGATTCAAGATCCAGATTAACCAATCAAAAGGCTCATTCGAGTCATTCGAAAATTCGATTCGAAATTCGAGTTTCGAGATTCAAAATCCAGATTAACCAATCAAATGCGGGTTCAACATTGATTACTCCCCTTTATTATGTTTAATCTATCAATAAATCGTTTAATATATTTATAACAAATGAGTCATTTGAATAAATTACAATGCAAGAAAGAGTGTTATATATATTAGAAAGAAAGTTAAATAATCATTTGATTTTTGATCAGCAAGATATACTTCAATTTATATTATGACTTCTTAAATATTAAATAGAATACATAATCAGGAATATATATATTTTTGCATTGTCTACTATATATAAAGGATTGTTGACATAATAATAAAGTTATAAATAGTGACTAAAGATTAACAAAATCCTTGTAGCCTTGATAAATAAAAACCGAGTATATTTTAGTCTTTGACCATAACGCTATGGTCAGAGACTAAAATATAAAACCATAACGCTATAGTTCTACAGCTAATTTAGACTAATCTACTGTTTGATATCAGATAAAATGAATGCTGCATTTATTCTAATTTATATTTGCAATCTGTATTGTATATATAATTGTTAATTAGTTCAAGAAATCAAAGCCTTAGATGAACATAAGTAATTGAAAACTTTATTTTAATGTATTCCCTCTATTAGGAAAACGAGCGCGGTTTTTATTTATCAAGGCTACATTGCCTTTCAAAGTTTTAAAGTAACATTTTCAGTGTCGGGAAAAATTGGCAGGTGTTGCCGGTAGGGGTGGGGATTTTGTTAATCTTTAGACACTATTTATAACTGTATTATTATGTCAGCAACCCTTTATATACAGTAGACAATGCAAAAATATATATATTCCTGATATATGTATTCTATTTAATATTTAAGAAGTCATAATATAAATTGTAGTATATCTTGCTGATCAAAAATCAAATGATTATTTAACTTTCCTTCTAATATATATAACACTCTTTCTTGTATTGTAATTTAATCAAATGATTCATTTGTTATAAATATATTAAACGATTTATTGATAGATAAAACATAATAAAGGGAAGTAATCAATGTTGAACCCGTATTTGATTAGTTAATCTGGATATTGAATCTCGAAACTCGAATTTCGCATCTCGTATTTCAAACTATCTCGAATGAGCCTTTTGATAGTTAATCTTCTTGAATCTCGAAACTCGAATTTCGAATCTCGAATTTTGAATCTCGTATTTCGAAACTTGAATCTCGAATGAGCCTTCTGGGCTTTCGTAAAGAAACCTTAAGTTTTCAGTGTCAAAAATGTGGGTGTACGTACCAGTTAACCAGTAGTTTGCTCAGAGCCAATTATTCACCAACTTAAACAGTTAGTATTAGACGTCGAAAACCAACCCCGTTACAGATCACTACCAAGTGGGCTATATTACCATATTACAGACCAACAGTTAATGACCAGAATGAATGCTAAGTGCCGCTAACGTGGCTTTGGAGCAAATTATTTATGACAAGCAATTTACAATTTCTTCTCTTTTAATCGCCCATTTATGGAGCAGAAGCATTATTCAAGTTAGACCACGAGCACATCATGCTTTTTACGTGTAAAGAATTAAAGTACGTGTAGAACTTAAGATTGTGTCCGACGATATTATAAATTGTCTTTGCTCTTCGGTCAAAGCTTAAATCCTTTTTCTAGTCTGAGGAGCCAAAATGACCGTTTAAAGAGCCCAAGAGTCTGAAAGCTCTTAAAGTGGAGATTTTAATTGGTTTGGTTATTTGGACCTTAGCATTCTGTTTATAAGACACTTTTTGTTGTACTAGGAATTATAATAATCTCTCTTTCTCTCACGATAAATGAAATATTAATAATATACAGCTGTACGGATGGACGGTGAACTCAATATTATACAACCAAATTATACTTAAGAATAAGATTCCTTTTACCTTTGAGGCAATTGAACCTGAAATCCGAGTCCTCTTCCTTTGATTGCTTTGTTATTTCATTGGTAGGGCCCCATCCCCAAACACCTGCTCAATGTATTGGAGCTAATTATGACTTGGAAGAATGAATGCTTCGTTGCAATATTGCTAATGCATGCATCTCAAGTTTCTGCAGCATTTCTCAGAGCCCCTTAAAATACTTCCAATCTCGACCATAGGAGTGAAAAATAATCATCAGTACGTTCTAAAATATTCGATAAGCTTTAGTACAGTGTACATATTTCATCAATATACATAGTAAATTTCAAACAGATATATCCATGAATAAGCGAATTATGAGATTTCATGCAATGTGGAGCATCGCCTTACGGTGCACGGATGTCTAAAGCAGCGTCCCGTTTCCTGTTTGCTAAAATAAGTTGCATTTAGAATTAGAAATTTCATTGACGCAAATCCTTGAATTTCCCTTTATGACTCCATAAAAAGTCGAAGAACCAATCTCGAACACACATGGGACATTCTGAAGATTTCTTAGTAAGTCTTGGACAATATTCTCACAATCATTCAACTAATATATAGGCAATCTTGTATCGACTATTTACAGTGACAGCGTCTTACGCTATTACCAAAGTTGTTTGTCCATATGTTTTGTTCTATCCGTTGAACCGATCAAAAAGATTTCGCTACGAAATCTCCCATTTCACTTTTATACTAAAGATCTGGTGAAATTTTTATAAAAAAATTTCTTCTGTATCCATTTAAGGTTATCCGATCCTCAGGTTCTGAAAATCACGCACTGAGTAATTGAAAACTCTCACAAAAATGTCTCTAAATCCTCAAAGTAAAATGTATTTACCCACTGTGTTTCTTTAAACTTCATCTTTAAATTTAATCATATTATATAGGGAAAATTAGTAATTCTCAAATAATTTTTCAGGAAATGCGATTAGAACTACCTACTGCATATTTTCTAATTGATAATTGATCAAGAAATGCATTTTAAATAAAAATAAGGTATCCAGGCTTTTAATTGCATGATTTTTATACTGATATTTCTCCTTCTTACTTCCATCGTTTCATAATGCATTGTGTATGAGGTGGTTCCTTTCAAAGAAAACACCGTAAATTATTTCTCATTTCAAATCATGCTTATAAACATTGTTAACTAAGGCTAAATTAAAAGAACTATGATTTTTTATAAATATGCAAGTTTTACTTACTTTTATGAGGTACAGATGTCAACTTTTTTAATACCATTTGCTAAAACTTTAAAGAACATTGAATCATACGTAGAGGCATACAATGAAAATTGTTACATGAAAAAAATTCAATTTCAAGCTTTATTTTAAGACTTTTTGAATTAAATTATAAATTAAAGAGTTATCCTTCCTGGCTGAGGATCGGATATCCTTAAAGTCTCTAAGGCATCATTACTAGGGGCCTACATATAAATCAAAGTAAACTGATCTCCGGTGCGCCGTAACGCCATCAAATGTACCCATTTTTCGTGTTTTGTGTTTACCACTTTCACATTGCGAATGCTCGTGAAACTGCCAAAAATTAGGCAAATGCCATATAAATTTCCAAAAGAATACACAATAGATAGTGGATTAAAAATGGGATATACTTTTTTACCTTTTGTATTTGATACTTTTATTTTGAAATAATACTTGTGCATTTTTTAATGAAACCCTGGTTTTTTTTATCGTGCGCCGTAGGGGCCGTACGCTGTGCACATTCAAGCATAATGATATCTTTGTTTTGATCTATATTTTATATAAAAAAAATAATATGTACTTTATATGTTGAATTAACATTTGCTGAAAATTTAAGTTTAGTGTACCCATTATTTTTCGAGAAAAACGCTTTGTCCACGATTTTAATATGAAAAGTGGATACTGATATTAAGAATGATTTTTAGGTCAAGCGACAAAAATATTACAAAAAACAAAAAAATCTTTTTGTTTTGGCCCTTGGCCCTAACTGAAATTTAATTTTTTACTCTGTAGATTTCAATTCTTGAAGCTTCAAAAATGAAAAAAGGCTAAGGTAACGAACATTGATCGATCTAAAAAAAAATTCTATAAACGATACACATCTGTAAATGATACGGACCTTCGATTTTCAGAGGCGGGGTCAGATGCCTAGGAAGAGTAAGATCCCCTTTGATCAGTCAAACTTGCCATGAGCCCTATGAATTGTCGGGTAGATGGAAAATTTCATGGTCAAAGTCAGTATTTAATCTAAGGTCTAAAAATTATCTCGATTAAAAAAAAATGATCGTACTCGGAGCATGCTCTTAAGTATCGAATAAGTTTAAAGATGTTAACACCATATACAGGTGATAGTGGGATATTACTACATAAACCAGGAGAGTTGGAGAGAGAAAAGTTTTCTTGTTAGCCAAACAGTTAAGCTGCTAGATGGTCCTTATCCTCTATAGTCAATAAAACATCCAAATATAAAACTTAATTGCAGACTCTAAGGTGTCTTTAGCTTTAAAAGTTCACTTGGATCTAATGACAAATGAATAAAACTATTCATAATTGAAAATACATCGTAGATATATCAAAATGACTAAATCAAGTGTTTTCATTTTCTCGTGTTGTAGCTCTGAAAAACTCTACTTCATAGGTATAAAAACAGATCAGGTAATTATTGCTCATCGGGATTCTCCAACAATTCGTTGGGAGACCTGGGGTCCAAAAACTACATCAGTGTTGTCAATGAAGAACCCAAGCATCCTTCTCATTTAACCTCAGAGTAATTTGTATAGAATCAGAATGTTTTGTACGAAAGCCCAGAAGGCTCATTCGAGATTCAAGTTTCGAAATACGAGATTCAAAATTCGAGATTCGAAATTAAGCTGTTAGATAGATCCAGATTAACCAATCAAAAGGCTCATTCGATATTCGAGGTAAAACATTCAAATTCGATAAAAACCAATCAAATGCGGGTTCAACATTTGATTACTCCCCTTTATTATGTTTTATCTATCAATAAATCGTTTAATATATTTATAACAAATGAGTCATTTGATTAAATTACAATGCAAGAAAAAGTGTTATATATATTAGAAGGAAAGTTAAATACTCATTGGATTTTTGATCAACAAGATATACTTCAATTTATATTATGAAAATATTAAATAGAATACATATATCAGGAATATATATATATATTTTCGCATTGTCTACGTTATATAAAGGGTTGTTGACATAATAATAAAGTTATAAATAGTGACTAAAGATTAACAAAATCCCCACCCCTGCCCGCCACACCTGCCACTTTTTCCCGACACTGAAAATGTTACTTTAAAAACTCTAAAAAAGCAATGTAGCCTTGATAAATAAAATCCGAGTATATTTTAATCTTTGACCATAACGCTATGGTCAGAGACATAAAGATAAAACCATAACGCTATAGTTCTGCAGCTAATTTAGACTAATCTACTGTTTGATATCAGATAAAATGAATGCTGCATTTATTCTAATTCATATTTGCAATCTGTATTGTATATATAATTGTTAATTAATTCAAGAAATCAAAGCCTTAGATGAAGATAAGTAACTGAAAACTTTATCTTTATGTACTGAGTATTCCCTCTAATAGGAAATATTTATCAAGGCTACATTGCCTTTCAAGTTTTTAAAGTAACATTTTCAGTGTCAAAAAGTGTTATGATATTTTGTTAAAAATACTTTTATATCTTTATTATTATGTCAAAAATCCTTTATGTAAAGTAGACAATACAAAAATATATATATTCCTGATATATGTATTGTTAATTTAAGACTAATATAAATTGAAATATTAAAAAATCAATTCTTTAACTTTCCTCTCTATTATATATAACACTCTTTTTTTAAAATAAGTAAAGTTATAAATATATTTTTATTGATAGATAAAACATAATAGGGGAGAATCAAATGTTGAACCATTTGATATCTGGATTTTGACATGGATTATTTCGGGTATTTCGAACCTCGGAGAAACTGAGCCTTTTGATTGGTTAATGCGATTTTAAACTCGAATTTCGATCTTCGTATTTCGAAACTTGAATCTCGAATGAGCCTTCTGGGCTTTCGTAGTTTTGGGTTTTTTTTTTACAAAATAATTTTACGATGTCAAGCATCGTCAAGCAACAAGCAGTTGTTATGATATAAAAAAATAGTTTTTGATTTATTTTGAGAAAAATTAGTATTAAGTGTGGAAAAATCGTACGTTTTGTTGTTAATGACTTTTGAAAATTAAAACAATTCTTAAAGTTCTCTTGAATATTTTTTTAAATAAGTAAAGATTGTTTTTTTTTTAGAAAAATAGTTTGATCCTGCATTATATCTCTACATGGATTATGGGTACGGAGGATAAACTGACCTTGGTTGAATGGAATGCTGAGAGCAAAAAAAAAAAAAAAAAAAGAATTTTATCCAAAATTCGCGGATTAATTTCAGTTCTCCCCGTAATGTCGATGCTAAACAAATCCATTCTTTTAAAATGTACATTCATATACTGGTTGTTTAAAACAATTTGTTTGAAATGATTTAATAAATGATCATTTACATATCGATAGGACAAAAACTTCAATTGTTTCATTATTTATTAATTCAATTTTTTATTTCTTTTTATATGTTTAAATATTAATTCAATTTTTTTTATTTCTTTAAGTCTTTTTTGTTTAATTTAAGAAAAGATTTGTAACCCACCTTTACATTCACTTAAAGTTTGATAGAAACTTTTGGAACAATACTCTGAATCAAAGTCAGCAAGGAACTACTCTTCTTGAACTTTCAAAGACCAATGTAAATAAAACTCTGAGCCAGTAAGTTTGTAGTTTGCCAGTCTTAATATTATTGGCGCAAGCCATCTCTACAGATCAAAAGGTATTTTTCAGACAAAGTCATTTTAATTTGAAACATAAGGGCTAAAAATACATATGATTAATTGACATATATTTATCTTATTTTTTAACCATACAAAAGTAGTTTCTTTTTATTATTAGATAGCAATTACAGCCAAAAAAATATCAGACTTATAATTGCATGTGGCACTTCCAGAAAAGAAGCACAATTAGTCAGAGAAAAGAA